CGAGGAAATCATGGAGCGCCAGCCCGCGGACAGCCCGACCAGAGCCGCCACTGGGCAATGGCGCGACACGGTCAGTCTCTCTGACGTCACCGCTCCGGAAGAGGTCGGACGGCATGCCCGAGAACGGGCCTATGCGCGCCCCGGGGGGGGGGGGGGGGGGGCGCTTGATTGCTGCGCGCATGGGCCTCCCCCGCCTTTTGTCCGGCCCGAATCTCGGCCTTCGACCCCGATGCCCGAGGCCCCTGGCCCGCGCGCCCGCCCCCCCCCCGCAGGTGGAGCTCGGCAAGGGGCAGACCGAGGGCGCCGCGACCGCGATCGGAAGCGCCCGACCTATCGACCTATCGGTTCTATCATGCGCATCAACGCGAAGTGCGCTTATTTTGGACCGCGGTGCCCGGCGCTCCCTGGCGCGCGGCGCCGTTGGGCGCTAGGCCGATGCAAGAAGCGGGTATGTCATGAATTCCCGGGGTTCGGCGGCCTCTGCAACCTGAATTTCGCGCCCCCCGCGCGTTATGCCCACGCCTTCGCACAACTGCGCGGGATTGCGCGCGAGCGAGCGGCGCGAGGCCGAGGAAGGGAACAGGCTCGAGATTACGGGGCCAGAAAGCTCGGCGTAGCCAAGATGCGCGCGCTATTCCGACAATCAGAATTCCAGCAGCGGGCTGCCGCTGGACGTCGCCAACAGGCGGCGGCGGCCGCGCAGGCCTTGGCGGCCGCGGCCGAAATGCGCGAGCTTGCCAGACGGCCGGAGGTCATTGCTGCATCCGAAACCCACGCGCAACTTCAAGAGACGCACCTCGCAGCAGAAGCCGGGCGCGTCGCCCGGGGGGCGGCGAGGCGCGCGATTGCGTCGCGCGCGGCCCGGGAAGTCAAGGGAGCAGAAGATCGGAACGCGCGTTCAGCGGCAGAGTCAGCCGCCGCCGACAGGCAGTCTGAGTCAGACCGCGCCGCTGCTGAAGTTGCGGTTCGACAGGCATCAGAGAAGTCAGCCGCTGAGGAGCGAGCGCGGGGCGCAGTGCTTCGCGCGCAGTTCCGAGCGATGGTCGCTGCCAAAGAGGCGAACGCGAGCGATGCTCACTTCGCTGCCGAAGTCCGAAATGCCCATGAAAAGGCAGAGCTAATCGAGGTGCGAGCCAAGGGGGAAGTCTTCGCCAACGCTCGAAGGGCGGGGCAGAAGGCCGCGCTCGAACGCCGAACGGGGAGAGCTCTATCGCGAGGTCAACGAACACCAAGCACAGTTGAACCCGATCGGGAAGTCCTTGGCGGCGTCAGCGGAGGCCGCGTCATCTGCGGCTCTGGCTGCCGTTGCTGCGCGAGCTCCCCCGCCGCCGTCGCCGCCCGCGGTGGGGGGCCGGCCGCGCCGAGGCAGGGTGCGCGCCTCCCTGGCACGGGCGCGCTACGGTGCTTCATCTGCCCTAAGGTGGCTCGCCGCGACTGCAGTTCGGGCCGGAGGGGCATTTGCGATGATCACTAAATGTTTCAGAAGACGACGCGCGCGCGCTGCTCCGACCGGGGGGCGGCGCGGGGAGAGACAGAGAGAGAGAGAGAGAGAGAGGGAGAGAGAGAGAGAGAGAGAGAGAGAGAGAGAGAGAGAGAGAGAGAGAGAGAGAGAGAGAGAGAGAGAGAGAGAGAGAGAGAGGGAGAGAGAGAGAGAGAGAGAAAAAAAACAAATACATACAATTATTAAAGAAATATAGAGAGAGAGTGAGGGAAGGATATATATATATATATATATATATATATATATATAATATAGATAGATAGAGAGAGAGAGAGAGAGAGAGAGAGAGAGAGAGAGAGAGAGAGAGAGAGAGAGAGAGCGCAGCTGAGAGAAGGCATCACCGAAAAGCGGATGAGGAACGCGAGGCGAGAAAGTAGTTCCAGAAACGGATCGCCGCTGCCTCTGCACCAGGAGCTGGCCCGCCGTTGCATGCGCCCGTTCGCGGGCGCGCCCCGGGCGGCGATGGGCGCCGGGCGGAGAGCGCCGAGTCAAAGAGGCTGCGCGGGCCGCCAGGGCCGAGAACAATATACTCGCATAAATCATCGAATGAGCGACGCGGCGGGAGGAGGGCCACGCTGGGGCGCAGGCCGCGCGCAAGGCGAAGAGCCAGGATGCGCGCGAACAGCGCGCCGAGGCCGCCGCCGCGGTGCAAGGGCAGGCCCAGGAGAAAGAGAGGAAGGCCGAGGCCGAGGCTGAGTTGCAAAAGAGATATCAAGGCCCACGCCGAGCGAGCGCGAGCTCGTCTCGATACCTCCCACCCGGAATATGCGCCGCCGGGGCCAGGGGCTTGTCCGGCATCTTCAAGCGAGAAGACAAGTAGGATGAGTCGACTCCCCCGAAGAAGGTGCCATGCAACATCCAGGCCCCGGCCCTCCAGGTGATGGCGGCGGAGGCGGCGATGGCGATGATGAGGGCGGCGAGTGCCGCTGCGCTGAAGATGAGGAAGGCCACGCCCCCGATTGAGACGAGGGCGACGATCGCGATCGCCTGCGTCGGCGCGGCGGAGGACCGCCTGATGGCGACCCGCCCGGAGGCGGCGGAGGCGGTGGAGTTCCCGTTCCCCTCGTGGCTGTGGCCCCCGCCACTGCGCAGCGCTGGAGCGACGCTGGCGAGGCCGAGAAGATTGTCTTGGAGGCGATCTCGACGCGGCCACCTACAAGCGACGTCAGTGCAACGTGGTCAGGACTACGGCGTCAGCATCGCCAAGATGCAGTCGGTTGGATATTTGACGCGTTCGACCTCAAGAAGGTTGAGGCGAAAGAGCTGAAGGACTCTGCCCACTTCGCCCGACTTGACCTAATGATTGCAGCGGACCTCATGGGCAACGGCGATGTGGTAGTAAGGGATAGACGATCCCCCTCTCAGCTCCGCCACCTTGCGAGCGAGATAGAAAGGCTCGACGCTTCCACGCGAGCCGCCAGGCACGTGATGAAGGGTCGCGAGACCCGGCGTATCATTGCCGTCCACGTGACCACTCGTCAGGATCATGGCCACGTGTGCACGCGCGCGTACCTTATTGAGATAGAGATTAATTCGTGGTGCGGGCAAGGAAGCAGACGGTGACCTATTCCACTTCTACGACGAGTGGGTGAGAACCCTCAGCGAGATGCAGGAACTGAATGACTCCTTCCGCCCCGCTATACAGGAACATTTCTATCGACAGATGCAGAAGGTCCAGGCATGCAATGCACGATAGTGATCTGTGATCAGCAGCGACGAGCACGGTGCAGGGATGAAGACATTCGAGTGGCTGCCATAAAAGGTCAGCGATTCCACGCGCAAGGAGCGAGGTCATATCAACCGCGAGAAACAACAGAGGAGGACGCTGAAAAACCGCGGCCTTCTGTGGGCGGCGCTGGCAGCGGCGGAGGGGGTGAAAGGGGCCCCGGCAATGGCGGGCAGAACCCCTGCATGAAAGACCGCCGCCTCAAGAAGTCGGCCCCCTGCGACCGGTTCCTCGAGAGTGCGCGTCCATGCTCCCAAGCTCAATGTCAATGCGCGCGCCCGAAAGGAAACGGTGGCCCCGCTGCTCCCGGGCCGCCCGCAGCTGCCCGGCGCGGCAAGGCAGGTGGCCAGAGCGGCGGAAATAAGAAGAGGACCAAGAGAAAAGGGGGTGGAAAGGGTAAAAGGGCAAAGGCAGAGAGCGCGGCATGATCGAGGAGCGCCCCACTGGCCGACCCAAGGGTGGAGGCCAGGGCCGGGAACGATCTCAGAGCCGCGCTTCCAGCGTCGATTCCAGGAAGAACGGGCTGCGCCATGCATTCAGCCGCGTCTCTCGCCCATCGTCGACTGACAAGTGCCCTCGCTCGCGAACGCAGACAGGCCACCGAGAAGAAGAAGCTCCCCCGTGACAAGTATGAGGCGCACGTGGACAAGGTTGGCAAACCGTCCCCTCACAAGCGCAACCAGGACCAGATGTCTGCAGCCGCTCAGAATGTCAAGAATAACGCGGCACCTGGGCAAAGAAACGACAAGGGGAAGTCAAAGGGGAAGGGCGAGGGCAAGGAGAAACAACAGCGCCGGAGGCGCCATGCAGGCCAGACAGACTTGCCCTTTCGGGAAGGATTGTTGGGGCAGGACCAACGCCCCTAGACGCCCGTGACCTGGCCGGCCGGCGCCCGGCGACTGCGTCGCCGGGGCTGGTCGAGACCCGCCCAAGGCATAATTCTTTTGTCCTGCCCCAATTAGGGAAGTAGCGCTATGCGCTGCCCCCGCAGTCCTCTGCGCTGGGTCAAGATTCCAAGCGCCGCCATTCGGCAGGATGACCGCCCTTCGGCGAGACTCCCTCGGGAACGGTCAAGAGCGCGAAAACGCCGCATCCGAACGCGGCGACAACAGTCTGGCTGCCCCGGCGCAAAGTCCAGGCTGGGAGGTAAGCGACCCATATGTGGAGCTCTTGAGGTGCCTCCAGGCTGGGGGGGGGGGGGGCCACGTCGCTCCCGAGCGCGGCCCTTGACCTGCTGAAGAACGGGGGGCCGAGCCGGGGGGCCCTATCAAGGCGGGCAGATGCCGAGCCGCGCCATTCCGTCAGTGGACCAAGGAAGGCGCGCATCGACCCGAGCGCGCCGCAACGAGCCACTTGGACTTTTCGATCGATTCGTAAGGAGACGAGATTGATGCCAAGTATGCGGGGCGAGGCGAAGCGAGCGAGGCGAGCGCGCGAGTTCGGTCCGGCGGGGCCAGCCCTCATAGGGCGCGGAAGGGCAAGGTGCACTACGTGTACCCTGACATCCCAGACCTCTTGCAGTAATGATCTTTTCATGCGGATGGTTTTTAATGTTTTTTCGCTCTGTAATGAGTTTTATGTTTCATTTGTTGTAGTGATTTCTTGCCCATGCCGATCCCCGTTATACTTATATTTACAATACTATAAATATATCAACATATATGCATATGTATATGTGATTGCAGTGATTCCTCGACGCGCGGGGGCTCTGGCTTCAAGCTCCCATTCGGCGGGCGCCCTCGCGCGCCCGTTTCTCCGCGCACCATCCAGTGGATGCTGGCCTCGCTCCTGGCGGCTGCGGCGTCCGCTTGCAGCCGGCGGGCGCCTGCTGCCTCCCTGGCGGGGGCCGGCGCCTCGCTGAGCAGCGCGGCGCCTGGGCCCGCGGTGCAGACCGCCAACGTGCACCTGACCCCTTGCGGGGCCGGCGGCTCGCCGGCTGGCGCGGCCCCTGGCGCGGGCCCGGCGACCCGGGACGTGGGTGCGCAGACGGAGCCCGAGGAGCCGGCGCCCCGCCCGCCTCTGGCCGCCCCGCCCCGCGCGCCCCGAACGGCGCGCGCTGAGGCCTGGGCCTACGCGGTCTGGGCGTGTCCAGCGGCCCCGGACCTCGTGGGGGTCCACTGCGGCGCGCGGCGGGCATGGGGCGCCATCGCCGGGCGGATCGGCGGGCACCGCTCCTTCCGCGGCGACCGCCTGCGCCGCGTCGCCTCGGAGGACGAGGCGATTGCGGGCTACCTTGCCGAAGCCGCCCGCCACGGCGCCCCTGTGCCGCCCCCCCTCCACCGCTGGTGAGGATGGCCCAGGAGGAGAACGCGATCGACACTGGCGAGGAAAGGGGCGAGGACCTCAGCGCCTGGTTTGTGTGCGCCACGCCCCAGATCGGGACGGCCGCTGCGCGGCTGCCCACCCCTGCTGCCGCAGGGATCGCTGGAGAGCCCGGGCCTCCCACGCTGAAGGCAGGCGAGGGCGGGGTCTACGTCTCCCACGACGACAGCTGGTGGCCCGACCCGGTGGCTGCGGTGAAGGCGGTCCCCGCCGAGATGCAGGCCGCTCTGGACCTTCGGGAGGGTGTGGGCGAGCCCGCGCTAGTGGCGACTGGCGCACCTCAGGAGATGGGCCCTTCGCCGTCCGCCGGCGGACCGCAGCTCCGCCCTCTTCTGGTGCCCGAGCTCCAGCCAGCGGCCGCCGAGGCTGGGTTCGGCGGGCGGTGCGCAGGGGAGGCCTCTCTGCCCCCTCCCTCCTCCACGACGCCGCCGAGCGAGCTGCTGGAGCAGCGCAGGGCTGGCACTGTCGAGGAGTTGAGGCGACTGGCCGCGGAGATGGCGGAGCTGAAGCGGCATCGAGCAGCCCTGCGCGCGCAGCCGGTTGCTCCGCTCGCCCCCCCGAAGGCGCCGACCAGGAAGGCCCTCGCCAGGCAGGGTCCGCAGCAGCAGCAGCAGGTCCTGGAGCAGATCCTGGCTGGGCAGAACGCACTCTGGGAGATGGTCGCAGCTTGGGAGGGCCTGCCCGCCGCGCGCGCCGCTGTGGCCGCCGCCAGGCCACCTCCGCCAAGCCGGGGGGGCGCGGCGCACCCGCTCCTGCGGCGACCTCGGGCCCCAAGGTCCTGCGCTGACGCCGGGCCATCCGCCCCCGTCTCCACGCAGCTCTGCTCCCCCGCCAGCAGGCCAGACCGCGGAGGCCCAGCCCCCTGTGGCCCCCGCAGGAGCCGACAGCCGCGTGGAGCGGCTGACGACCCTGTTGGCACAGCATGCGTCTTCGAGGGGGGCCCCGACTCAGAGCGGCGTTCGCCTACCAGACGCACCGCCTCTCCGGGCGGACGACGGGCGCGACGACGGGTTTGGCGAGAGCACTGGCATGCGACTTGGCGGCGCGCGCGGCGCTGCCGCCCTGAGGCCGTTCCGACGTCGGACCCAGAGCAGCCCCCGGGCCGCCCCCGTCATGGCCAGGCGGACTTGCCAGCTCGACATGACGGGGGCCGTGAGCGAGGTGTGCATGAGCGACTCCATGATCCATGATCGTCTACACCAAGGACACGCTGGCCTCCGGGGACGCGGAGCGGAAGCTGGCGCTGGCCGCCGCACCGAGGGCCGAGGAGGATGGAGACAAGGGGGGAGCTCAAGGCGCCAAGGCAAGGCCTCGGGCGCGCCCCCCCGCGAGTGAGAGCGGGGCTCCCTGGGCTGGCTGGCCCGGGAGAGCTGCATGGCGCTGCCCCAGCCTCGTGGCCGCGCGGACGCGCGGGGGACCGCAGGAGGCTGGTGGGCGGCAGCAAGTCGATGGATGTGGGCATCCGCTGGGGTTTTGGCCTGATCCGCCGCCTGCGGGGGCTTCGCACGGCCTTCGGCGCCTTCGTCCGCTCCTCCATGCACGCCGCTGGGTTCCAGGGGGTTGCGACTCCTGCCGCCGGTCTGCTGCCCTGCAAGTGCCCCCCCGCGGGGCGTGCGGGCTCGCAGGCGATGGCTTCGCACTCGCGTCGAGCACATGTGGGTCAACGCCGTCGTTCTCGCGCTCTCCCACCTGCACCTGGGCGAGTCGCGGAGCTGCCCGCCGCGCGCCCGCGCGGGGAGGCCTCTCAGTTCGTCTCAGTCCGAGATGGTGTCCAGGCTGAAGAGGCTTGTGCGACCGATGTGCCAGCCCCTGCAATGGCAAGGTGGCCGCGTGGAGAAGGCCGACGCGCTGCTCGACTATCTCCTGAATGCGATGCAGCTCCCCCTGGGCGCCGCGGCGCCCTCTCCTGACTGCGAAGGGGCGACCGTCGACCCGAGCAAGGCTCCCTTCGCCAAGGCCGAGTGCCACTTCGACCCCCTGGCGCTCCTGGCTCCCTTCTCCGCCGCCACGTTCCTAGAGCCGCGGCTGCTGGCGCGGGAGGGGCCGGGTGCCAGCCCGCTGGCGCGCGCGGTCGGGCCTCCGACCCGGCCCGCTCCGGCGCGACCGGCCCGCCAGACGGGCAAGCCAGGCGACCTCCTCCAGTACCTGAAGCAGTGGGATGACGTGGGGCGACTGGAGCTGGGCGACGTGACCGACTCCCCGCAGGCCCTGCGAGGTACCCTGTTCCCCGTGTTCAAGGACGCCAACACGCAGAGGGTCGTCTTCAATCGCATCGCGCGGAACTCGGCTGAGTTGCCGCTGGGCGGCTTCTCCAGATTGACCCCGGGCGCCGCAACGCTGGTGGGCCTGGAGGTGCCGGCTGGCTTCGTCCTGCGTGTCTGGGCGGACGACCTCCAGGACTTCTATCCCGCCTATGACTGCACGTACGACATGGCCTGCACCAACGACGCGGCGCTCCACCTCCCGACGAGGCTCTACGAGGGCTTCGCAGCGCTGGGCCGGCTTCGGAGGCGCTGCCGTCGGGAGGGTCGCGAGCTCCCCGAGAAAGTGGTTCCCTGCCATGGCGGCCTGATCATGGGGGGCCTGAGCGCTCCCGACTGGGCGTGCGAGTCCCACATGCGGCTGCTCGCCCACGCTGGCAGCTTCCCCCCAGAGCGGCGGGTGCTGAACCGCCACCTCGCCCCCGAGGGGTCTGTCTGGGAGGCCGTCGTGCTGGGCGACCACTTTGGCCTGGCGGTCGACGCTCCAGGCTCGCGGGAAGCTCGGCGAGCGATCGAGGAGCCCTTCGCACGTGCGCGCGAGGGCTATGCCAAGGCTGGCCTCAGGGTCAGCGCGGGCAAGGAGGTGAAGGACGCGGCGGAGGCGACGGTCATCGGGGCAGAGCTCCTGGGCCACGACCGGCTCGTCGGCGCCTCTCGCACCCGCAGGCTGGCGTTGGCCTGGATGGGCCTGTCCATGGCCCGAGGCCGACGCTCCACTACGCTCGGGCTGCAGAGGTTCCTTGGCATGGGGCTTTTCGCCGCGCTGTTCCGGCGGCCGACCCTGTCGCTCCTCCACTACTGCTACAAGGAGGTCGACGTCGGCCGCGACCCGCACGAGGTGTTCGACCTGAGCAGCGCGGCCTGCAACGAGTGCGCCCTGTTCGCGGTTCTCCTCCCGCTGATGGCCACCGACCTCTCCGCAGGCTGGGGGCCGCATGTTCTGGCCTCGGACGCCTCGCACCTGGCCGGAGCGTCCGTCAAGACGCCTGCCTCGGTGCCCAGCGCCAGAGCTTTTTGGCGCCAGCGCGAGCAGCGAGGCGCTCGTACGTGGCTTGACCCCTCAGGCTGGGCGGCCCTTGCCAACCCCGAGGACGGCGCCGTCCTGCAAGACCTGGGGGAAGATGCCGCCCCTCTCCCTGACGTCGTCGACCCGACGGCCTCGCTGATCGAGTACTTCGACGTGCTGGAGCTCTGCTGCGGGGAGGAGGCCCGCCTCATGGGCTACCTCGCGGACCGGGGCCTGCGTACAGGCCCGGGGATAGACATCAAGTGCCACAAATACTGGGACCTGGTTGACTCACGCTTGGCGGAGTGGGTAGTATGGCTGATCTGGCAGAGGCGCGTCAAGATGACTATATCACAGGTTCCATGCACCAGCTTCTCCATCGCGAGGCACCCGAGGCTCAGGTCCAGGATGCGGCCCTGGGGTTTCGACCCTTCTTCGACTCCGACGCGTCTGGGGAACGGCCTCTGTAGGGTGGGCATGCTGGCGCTGTTCGCCCATCTCCTCTCGGGCCACGGTGCCGGCCTGCACGGGCACCCCCTGACGGCCTACTCCTGGTACGCGCACATCGTCGAGTTCCTGCTGACGCACGAGGCCGTGGAGCGCTTCGACCTCTCGATGTGCCAGTTCGGCGCGCCCTGGAAGAAGGACACTAGCCTCCTGGTCGTGCGGGGCCCCTGGCTGGCGCCTATGGCGAGGCGCTGTCGCGGGGGGCACATGCACACGGTCTTAGAGGGCTGCCTGACCCCCAAAGCCGCGCTCTACCCGCACGGCTTCTGCTCCGAGCTGTCCAAGCTGATCGCCGACCACGTGGATGGGCCGAATCCGCCGCCACCGGCGGAGAGCTCGGCGCCCGCTGGAGCGTTCGAGGCCCTCTGGCTGAACAATTACGTCGACTCCGCGCCTTGGCAGCTGCACTGCCACCGCCCCTTCCGCAGGCCCCTCCACATCAACTTGCTGGAGATCCACGCGGCCTGCGACGCGGTGGACGAGCAGGGCCCACGGTTCTCCGATTGCAAGCGCAACCTCTTCCTGGACTCCCGCGTCTCGATCGGGGCCATCAGCAAGGGCCGCTCCTCATCGACTGCGATCAACAAGCTCTTGAGAAGGAGGGCCCCGTTGCAGCTGGCCACGGGCTCCTACGTCGGATGCCACTTCGTGCCGACGCGACTGCAGCCAGCCGACGCCCCGTCGCGCAATCTCCGCGACCCGGCGAGCGCTCTGGCCCGCGGGGCCGGGGTTCCGTTTCCCGCTCCGAGCTGGCTGGCCGGCCTAGAGGCTGGGGGCGCCTCAGCCTTCCGCGCTTGGGCTGCGCTCCCGCTGCAGCGCCGGCAGCAGTCGCGGTGGGCTTGGCTCGTGGCGTGCCTCTGGTGGCGCGGGCTCCTGCGGCTCGCCCCTCGACCGCGGGTGCGCGACCCCGCGCTGCAGCTTCCCGGGCGAGGGCCCGCGCGGCGGAGGCGGCTTGCCGAGGGGGCCCCCCCATGGAGGCGAGCAGGGTTTCATCCCCTGGTCAGGTGACGGCCCGGCTCCTCCCCGGTACGGCCAGCCTCCATCAGGGCCGGGCTCGCGGAGCCCCGGCACTGGCCTCCTGCGCCGCTGCAGGCCGGCGCAGCCGCGGGCCCGCCCGGTCGGGCTCTTGGCGCTGCTGCTGCTGCTGCGGGGCCCTGCGGCCGCGCCGCGCCCGCCGACCTCCCGCCCCGCGGAGGACCTGGCGGCCGCGCGCAGCCTGACGCCAGTAGTCCAGGAGCGCCGTGCGGCCCTCGCCTTGCAGCTCCAGCAGTGGCTGGCGGGCCGCGTCGAGCCCCGCTGGGGCCTGTTCATCCTGATGGACCCAGCTCCGGTGGCCCGCCACCTGGCCAAGTACGGCCCGGTCCTGTACGACGCGATGCGGAGCCGCCACGACTACGACGAGACGACATATGCAGTGGTGGACGCACATCGGGCCCTCCGACACCCACTCGACGCGGCGTGGGGCACCTCCTTCGCGGGGGAGCACCTGACGCTTGGTTCGAACCACCAGGCGATGCCGGAGGCGCTGCCGCTCGCTTTGGTGAGCCTTGCACTGGCGCTGGGCTGGTGCGACGTCGCCGCGGCCCGCTCCTCGGCTCCTTCAGGATGGAGAGGCCCTTCGAGTTCCTGACGCTGAGGTTCGGGGACCAGGTGCTCCCCTCGCAGACGTTGGATCGTCTGCAATCAAGGTATGTGCACGGGTGCGCGCCCAAAATGAGACGCTTGGGAGCGCGCCGCGAGCCCATCAAGAGTGATCTCCCGCATGCTTTGCATGTCCTCGTGGCCCCCTCTCTTCTGTCCTCCCCTCGTCTCCCTCTCTTGCATGGTGGTGCCCGTGTTTTCAGATTTTGTCTGGATTCCCTCAGGATGTCTTCGGAATCCAACTTTCAGACAGGGGGCATCGCCCCAGCGCCCCTCCGCCCGAGAGGGACCACGTTCAGTATAGGCTCACAGATTCGCCAGACTGGGTCCGCTACTGGGGCCGAGGGCTCTCCGGTAGGTGGCTAGTCTTTTAA